TAGGTAGCAGGTGTTTTTCTTGGAGTGCTGTGTTCTTTTTCCTCCATGCTTAACGGCCCTTGTTGTGCTCAAATAACTCTATTTTAGTTTCATCAGTCCACAGCACCTTATTCCTAAATGAAGCTGGCTTGTCCARATGTGCTTTAGCATACCTCAAGCAGCTSTATTTGTGATGTGGGTGGAGAAAAGTCTTCCTCTKCATCACTCTCCCATACAGCATCTCCTTGTGTAAAGTGTGCTGAATAGTTGAACGATGCACAGTGACTCCATCAGCAGCAAGATGATGTTGCAGGTCTTTGGTGCTGGTCTGTGGGTTGACTCTGACTCTTCTCAACATCCTTCACTTCTGTATATTGGAGATTTTTCTTGGTCTGCCACTTCGATCCTTGACTCAAACTGTGCCTGTGGTCTTCCATTTTCTCACAATGGAGACTGAAAGCTGAAATCTCTGAGATAGCTTTCTGTATCCTTCCCTAAACCATGACGGTGAACAATCTTTGTTTTCAGCTCATTTGAAAGTTGTTTTGAGACTTCCATGCTGCCACTCTTCAGAGAAGATGTAAAGAGGAGAAAAACTTACAATTGCCCCTCTTAAATACCATTTCTCATAATTGGAGTCACCTGTGTATGGAGGTCAAGGGTCACTGAACTTACCAAATCAACTTTGAGTTCCATTAATTAGTTCTAAAGGTTTTGAAATCAATAAAAATGACAGTGCCCAAATTTATGCACCTGTCTAATTTTGTTTAACCAATTATTGCACACTTTCTATAAATCATATAAACTTCATTTCACTTCTCAAATATCACTGTTTGTCCCATATATGATATATGTTACTGATTTTTTTATCCAATATTCAATGATTCATAAAGAGTAATCATGAAAATTAACAAGGCTGCGCATACTTTCCCACCCCACTGTATAAATGTAATTTTATTGTACAGAATGTAAGATTAACACTTTGTGAATGAAGCCTTAAGTGATCAATTCAAGAGCATCTCATAAAAAACCTGTAATAAAATATTTGAATTTCATTATTCACAATATAATAAACGAAATTCTCTCTAATAATCAAAAACACTGTTAATAAGAACCTGAAAGCACAGTTGAGGTTTCTATCATTTCATCTGAATAAACCAGAAAAATGGAAACCTGGAAAAATCCACCACAGTGAAAAAAATGATGCTTTGACAGCAGTTTATCTAAGCTTCAGTAGGAATTTAACATCAGCTATGTGTTAAATTAGTCAAATATAATGCAACATAACACTGGTCAGATTATTGCCTGTGTTTGACACAGTACACAATAGCTCAGTGACCACTGGTCCAAAAATTATCACCTCGAGTGAAGAAACAACATTTTCTGCTTCTAAACAAAACAAACATTGAAGAGTAACTTACCCCAAAATTAACTTTTTTTAGCTGATAAACTGTCTAGAATGTGTCTAAAATGTTATATAGTACTGTTTCTGTGCTAATTTTGATGTTTTTGTGCGTATTTGTTCAAATCTATAATATTTGGTCTAAAAACGTGTTTTTGCTGCTCATATGGTTAGAGCAGTGGTACTGCAGGCTAATTTGCATATTGGTTAACGGCTCTCCTCTGTGACGTGTCTTCTCCACAGTTTCAACACAGCAGCTGTGTTCTGGTATAAAAGCCTCTCTCTAAGACACGCCCCTGCAGCAGTCAGAGGGTGGAACAGGTAGCAAGCTTAGCATGATCGTCTGTTGACCTTCAGCCTCGGGTGGGGAGAGGTGCTGGCTGCTCTCCCTCTCTGTCTGTCTCTCCACAC